ATGTGGCCACCGTGACAAGAATGAGAATTACATTTGTGGCCAATAGTGCCAATGAAATAAAAGAATGTGTGAACATTATGAGATGAGTTTTGACTCCTTTATATAATAATGTCATTAATGTCCTATGATCACCCATGGCTAGTACAAATAAGAGACATTATGAACATGAACTATGGTTGTTTGCCAAAATGAGAATCATGAGGCATTGTATGTTCCAATGGTTTCAACTATAGTTGTATGCTTCTGAAATAATGAATATAAATGACTTCGATGTTAATTCACCGAGAATCATGAACTTAGCTAGTGACCTTAAGATGACAATGAGGTATATAATGAGGAGAAAAAGAGACGTCCTATGCTAAATGATGATGAACCTTAAGAAAAGAAATTGGGTCCATGCACCATTGAAATCTACTTAGTGATTTGCCAGGCATGTATTAATGTAATGAGCTATGTTTCTCCATGATGAGCATGAAATGAAGTGTTCCACTGATCCCGAAACTTACGACCTTAAAAGTAGTATTAGTCATGTCGCTTGAGTTTATATATGGTTACATGCGTAATGATATGTTATGAAACCTATGGACGGCCTATGAAACACATAGGTATATTGTGTTATGAACCATATGGAGGGTCTATAAAACGCATAGGTATATTGTGTTATGAACCCTATGGACGGTTTATGAAACGCATAGGTATATTGTGTTATGAACCGTATGGACGGTCTATGAAACGCATAGGTATATTATGTTATGAACCCTATGGACGGTCTATGAAACACATAGGTATATTGTGTTATGAACCCTATGGACGGTCTATAAAACTCATAGGTATATTGTGTTATGAACCCTATGAACGGTCTATGAAACGCATAGGTATATTGTGTTATGAATCCTATGGACGGTCTATGAAATGCATAGGTATATTATGTTATGAACCCTATGGACAGTCTATGAAACTCATAAATATATTGTGTTATGAACCCTAAGGACGGTCTAGGAAACACGTAGGTATATTGTATTATGAACCCTATGGATGGTCTATGAAATGCATAGGTGTATTGTGTATGAAATCCTATGGATGGTGTATGAAATGGATAGGTGCAATGTATATGGAATCCTATGGACAGTCTATGAAATGCATAGGTGCATTGTATATGGAATCCTATGGATGGTCTATGAAACGCATAGGTGCATTGTATATGGAATCCTATGGACGGTCTATGAAATGCATAGGTGTATTGTGTATGAAATGTATAAGTGTATGGTATTAATAAACACTATGGACAATCTATGAAATGCATAGGTGTAAAATATGATATGTGAATAACAAGGAATGGTCTATGAAATGTATAGGCGTAAAATAAGAGAGGGACATGGACGGTTTAGTGAGACGCATTATTAATGCTGACAATAGGTTCCACTTTCATTGGCCTTGTTTGTATATGTTGTTTCAATTACATTATATATATATTCCACGTATAGTTCATATGGATCAGTTGATCCTAAAAGAAGTTTAGAATGATGCAAGTATAATAAGACTTGATATTTGATTCAATGGGATGTTTCGTAGTTTCTTGATGTACTTTAAATGCCTTTTATTTGAGTTTACCGTATCTTCATATGTTGTTCTATCTGCCTTTCACACAAGTACTATTCCATATGTACTCATGTCCCTTTTGCCAGAGGCGCTGCATCTTTTAATGGATGTAGGTGGTTCCATAGCAGGCAGCATCGATCAGTGATAGCAGTACATCCTCCTCCCAGCTACTTGGTGAGCCCCACTTCATATCGGGGTCATGTACCTTTTGATTTCTCATGTAATGTGTTTTGAGGTATAGCCGGGGCCTTGTTGCCGGCATTATCCTAGTACTCTTTTGTACCCGCTAGAGGCTCTATAGACATGGTGTGGGTTATACGTGGTATTGGGAAGGTCAAACTAATGATGTTGTAATTGTATCACATGTTCCATTTTTAAACTATGGATGTGTAATGTAATATTTTGAGGACTTTACAATGAAGTAACTAATGGTAATGAATTGGTATTGTACACATAATCTCCTTATTGTCTAATTAACGAAAATATGTATTCTCTTTATTCATAAGTGAGTTGGGTAGAAAGTACCTAACAAGCTTGCCTGACCAGGTTTACTCGGTTGAGCGTCGGTCGCACTCCCCGAGTTCAGGGCATGACAAACACTTTCAACTCGGCTCTACGGCCCATCTCAGTCATCAACCTCTCAAGACTCAAGGGCTCACAATCTTATACCACTCAGCCCAACAACTCCACATATGAAAAAGAAACAATAATAACATGTGATTTAACAATGAATGATGATCAGAGACTGAGATATGATGTGCAAATTAAGAACCATGACTAAGTATAAAATTACAGTTAATTCAGATAACTCAAAATAACAGAAATAGCCTCATTAGGTCTCAACGGAATAATCACATAGTCTAAACATGATTTCTAATAAGAATCACAGCTCAGGTAATCAACAAGTAGGGTAAAATGCGGACATAACAGGATATGATAACAGAACAAGTCTAGTACTAGTCTAAAAGTCAACTTGAATCGTAATTACCCCCGTGCACGTCCACACGCCCATCACCTAGCATGTGTGACACCTTAACACATCACAAATAACATAGTTCCCTAGGATAATTACCCTCAATTCCAAGTTTAAAAATGTTACTTACCTCGAACAAGCCAAATCCAATACCGAGCAAGCTAGAACAATACTCTAAAAATGCCATCACGCGCGAAACATCTTCCAAACGGATCGAAACTAGCCAAAAGCAACTCAAAACATCAAATAATGCCTTAGGAAACAAACACAATCGAAAAAGGTCGAATCTTTAATCAAATACTCAAAGTCAACCAAAATGTCAACCTCGAGCCCGCACCTTGGATCCTGACAAAATTTATAAAATCCAACAACCCATTCAATTATGAGTACAACCATACTATTTTCACTCAAATACGACTTTGAATCGAAGTTCAAAACTCAAAAATTCACTTTAGGAAAGTTTAGACAAAAACTCTCAATTTCTCTTTAAAATTCACAATTCAAATGCCACAATAGAAGATAGATTCATGAAATATAATCAAAACCAAGTAGAAAATACTTACCCTAATCCATGTGGTAAACATCGCCCAAATTCTAGCTCCCCAACTCAAAAAGTGTAGATAATAAACTCAAAATCCCTAACTTTGATGTTTTAATGCACTGCGAGGGTCCTTCTTCGTGATCACGATTCAAAAAATAATTCCACCACAATTTTTACTCTTCGCTATCGCGATGAACAAACTCCAACAAGCTTGCCTAACTCTTCCAGACAATATCTAGTATAATTGTCATAACTTTTTGTATAAAACTCTAAATGATAAACGGTTTGATTTTATGAAAACTAAACACAAAGGGTTGCAACTTTTATTGGATCACCTCCAAATTCCTTATAGATTGTAATATAAAAGCTTCTATATTTCGTCCTGTGACATCAGAAATTCTTCTACGCGATCGTAAGAATGGCTTCCGCGATCGCGATTCACAAAGCCCAAACAACAATATGCTCTTCGCGAACAAGACCCAAAGGTCCGCGAGCGTGATTCACACCCTTATAGCCAAAAACCAACAACTAAAAAGAGCCTAGAAATGGTCCAAAACTCACCTGAGCCTCTCGGGACCCCATCCGGACATGCCAACAAGTCCCAAAACGTAATACGGACCTACTCGTGGCCTCAAATCATACATAATAACATCAAACCATGAATCATCGATCAAGATCAATCTCTTAAGTTCATAAACTTCAAACTTCGAACCAAGCGTCCGATTCAAGCCTAACCAATCCGGAATGAACCCAAATTTTGCATACAAGTTCCAAATAACATATTGAACCTATTCCAACTCCTGGAACAACAATCTGGACCCTATATCATCAAAGTCAATTCCCGGCCAAACTTATGAACATTCCAAACCTTCAAATTGCCAACTTTCGCCAATTAGCGTCAAAACCTTCTAGAAACATCCAAATGCAAATCTGGGCATACGCCCAAGTCCAAAATCCTGAATCTAACGGAACCATCAAAACTACGATCCGAGATCAAATACACAGAAGTCAAACTTGGTCAACTCTTCCAACTTAAAGCTTCTTAGTTGAGAATCATTCTTCCAAATCAATCTTGAATCACCTGAAACCAAAACCGACGATTCACACAAGTCATAATACATCAAATGAAGCAATTCTAGACTTCAAATAGCTGGACGAAATGCAAATACTCAAAACGACCGGTTGGGTCGTTATACTTAGCCACATTCCGAGCTGATGATCCTGAAACTTCGTCTATAACCCCCTCCCATTCCCAAAACGAGAAATAAAAAATTATTTCTTTTGAGTGAGTTAGTTTTTTCGGGTAAAATATTGCTTTTTATATTTATTTTGATAGATTTTGAAATGATTAACATTATTTTACTAATTATTTTGCATTATATAATTTAGACACCAGATTTAAGAAGTCAAATTAGCATCTTAAATTTGCGTTTGATGTTAATTTAACACATGGTCATTGAATTTTAAACACTATGATAGTAAAGTCATAATATTATCTTTTCTCGTGTTAAAGTAATTGAACTTTCTTTACCGTAAAAAAAACCCCACTAATTTTTTTTATCATATTAAAATATTGAACTTTACCCATTATAACACAAAACTAATGAAATTTTACTTATAACAATATACTGATTTTGATGGGTAAGTTTGAACATCATAGTGGGTAAAATTTATTTACTTTAATGTGATAAAAAATTGATTACTTTAATATGGATAAAATTTAATTATTTAAAGTGATAAAATAAAACATTACTACTATGATTTTAGTATTATAGCGAACAATTTCGGTAACAATATGTGAAATTAATTCATAAAACACCATTGCATAAACGGAAGGAAGAAAGATAGCCTTTAAAAGGGGATGCCATCCCAACATCATTTTGCAAAAATAAATATACTTTTTTCTTTTATTTTCCCTTATCTACTTGTAGACAGTGTTACCATTTCAACCGATAGCCAAAGAGCCGAGAACTCAGAGATAATGGCAATGGCTACGCACTGCTCTTCCTCTTCGTTAATGTTCACTTCCACTTCACCAAAATCCTTTTCTTCTTCCCCAAAGAAAACCCCATTTCTGGGTTTCTCAATGGCAGCCTTATCGAAGCCGTCGTTTCAATTATCACCCCTCGTCAGGACCAATCGGACGGCCCAAATTCGTTGCCAAGACAAAGCTGCCGCCTACATTCCTCTTGACCAACGATGGATGTTCGAGGAGTCTGAAATTGACGGCCCTGTAAACTAAAAATTTCTCCCTTTTTCTTTTTGTTTTTTATCTTACTTGTTTTACTCAAATTTTTTCTTTTTAGCAGAACTGAACAATTGCTAGTTTTGTTTATTCCTCTCTTTTTTCCAGCTTTTTAGTACAATTTAGTAACTTTACGATGAATGGGAACTCTATTTGTAGAATTCAAACTAGGTTATTTGCTTCCAGTATGTTATACTTTATACTCTCTAGTTTCAATTTATGTGAAACTATTTGAGTGAGCACGGATTTGAAACTTGTGGTATGCCATAACATTTGTTGGTTATAATAGTTCTGAAATTTGTGGTCCGAAAATATTTGTGTGGCTATAAGGTTAAAATTGAGAAATATAAGTTAAATTGTTTCTAAATTTAAAAAGAGGTCATTGTTTTTGAAACGGACTGAAAAGGAAATAGAATCACATAAACTAAACTGGAACAGAGGCGGTAGGTTATACCTCTTTTGCTCCATTTCATTTGACAATTTTTTTCTTTTTGGTCTACACATTTCTGCATTAGGATTCTCCTTTTGTAGGAGATATGTTGCTAGCTCATCTGCAGAAGTGCATGAGGAGCTAAGTTCTAATTAATTCTATCCGTCTCCAGGATAGATAGTTTACTTTGGCAGTCAACCAGCAGTGACTTGAAAATATCATTGGCTTTTGTTTAAGGTTTAAGCAATAATAAAAACAAATCACATGTAGTGTTGGTGTTGTGTCAAAAGATCCAATGATGCTTCTAGGGTCATATCGATCTAAAGTATTGCAACTATCTCCCACATTGCGGAGAATAAAATAAAAGCTCTGATAGCAATATTGGCTTGAGTATTTAAAGATATCCATAATTTAGTGGTTCGGTATGAATTTCTTTATTAATCAATGAGCATAGTTTCTGTTAAAACATTAGATTATGAACATTTTTGCATTGTTGAATGGTTAAGATATGGAAAATAATTTATTCTTGTTTCCTCCTGTAGGACATTTGGAATGAGACATGGTATCCCAAGGCTGCTGACCATGTGAACACAGACAAACCTTGGTATATTGTCGATGCCACAGATTTAATTCTTGGAAGAATGGCATCAACTATAGCGATACATATGAGAGGGAAGAATCTGGCGACATACACTCCAAGTGTTGACATGGGTGCATTTGTCATAGTGGTAAGTTTCTGTACTAAAAGCATGTTAATTTATCTTCTACCGTTAGGAAAAAGAGCATTAGGACCCCACCTTTTCCTTTAAGAGTTCTAGGTCCTATGAAGTCCATATCCTTCATTTTGGTGTCTGAGATAGCATGATATGACTAACACTTTCCTGCTCTCTTTAACTGTAAATTATCCGCTATTACGGTTTGATGTCTGAGCAATTATGTTTTTACTTGAACACGAAAAGGTTAATGCTGAGAAGGTTGCTGTATCTGGGAAGAAAAGGACCCAAAAACTTTACAGGAGGCACTCTGGTAGACCTGGTGGGATGAAAGTGGAGACTTTTGATCAACTTCAACAGAGAATTCCTGAAAGAATCATTGAGCATGCTGTCCGTGGAATGCTTCCCAAAGGGAGGGTCAGTATGCTTTACTATTCATAGAGTTCCGTTCCATACTAACTAGCCTAAATGTTTGGCAATTTACATATAATGTTGGGGACAAGAGTATCACTTATCTGATATTAGGTACTCCATAAATAACTCTCATCTCCTGTATCATCCATGGAACTTATAATAGACTCGCGCGTGTGTGTATTATTTCTATGCACACATATACTCACATATAAACCGTCTCCATTTGGAGCCAATGATTTTGTATATGGATTCGCCTCTGCATAAAAGACTTACACGTTGAATGCTGGGTTGTGGGAAAGGAATGGGTTAACGGATTTCTTACCCTTAATTTTACACCAATTCTGCATGGCTATAGTTTCAGTTTCCTTTTAAACATGGCTATAGTTTCAGTTTCCTTCTAAACAGTGGCAGATGGGAATTTTGCAACACCAATGTTCTCATGGTTCAGGGTTACTTATTTGTGTGCATATACTCCTCGTTTCAAGAAATTGAAAAGTTCATTTAGTTGTCAGACTTGGTAGCGATTGCACTTGCTTTGCTTTGAATCACTGATAACAAGTAATATAGATTTTGTTTTTTAACATACTTTACATTTGATATACTCTCAATCTAAATTTATTAAGTTTTCTGTTTGTGCAGCTTGGTAGACAATTATTTACCCATCTTAAGGTGTACAAAGGTCCTGAACATCCTCATGAGGCTCAGAAACCCATTGAATTGCCCATTAGAGACAAGAGGATACAGATTCAGCGCTGAACTCCCAACAGTGCAATTGAGGAGCAGTTCTCATTTTTGGCTGTTGATACATTCCTTAAAGTTTTTTCTGTTTAACTGGTGTAACTTCATGTCTTAACTCCAGTACTGTACCTGCTCTCCTGCTATTCTTCTTTATGCTTTTGTAGAGGTTTTTCTTTACAAATTTATTTGCCTCCACATTTTTTGAGCAAATGAGATTCTTCTTTAGGTTTCATTTCTATTGAATGTTTCTTCACCTTGGCTTTGTCCTGCAGAGTGGATTCAGTAATTTTTTAACTCCCTTCTTTCGTCCCGCACCCTCAAGCTTGGGGGTTATATAAGTTACTCTATTTGGCATTCTAAGTTCCATGGAGTATTGATGTCAACCTTTTGATTTCTTTCTGATTTTGGAAAAGAATAAACAGAAATTGACTCTGTTTGTTTATCTATCTTCATGCTCAACAAGAAGATTGAACAAAATATCGTGATTAAACTGGGAAAGGGAAATAATCTAAAGGAAAGTGTAATAAACTCTTCATTGAGAGTGGGAGAAGAGATAAGAAAATTGCATATAAGAATAGAATTGTTTTTTGGGGGGCCACTTATTAGGTTTAACTAAGATAAAGTTGATAAATTTCCTTTCTCCCACACTTCTCATTTCATTCCAAACTTTTCTGCTGGTTCCCTTCTTTTTATCTTCTTGTTCTTTTTGGTAGTTTACACTTACTTCCCAAACAAAGCAGGTAAGATTAATATATTCCAAGTGCAGAGGTATGCAACTTCAGCATGTATAGGTTCATAGTATGAGTGTCAAATTTAATCCATCAATAATCCGCCTTATTCGCCAAGTTTTAATAAGTGGACTGGACATATATGCGCATGATCAATTGGGAACAACCAAAGTTAGTTCCTTCAAAGAATTAGGCTAGGTATTTACTCCAATTTGACGTGAAAATTGCACGGGGTGCCCTATTTGGTCGCTTTCATTTAACATGTACCCACTTTTTAATTTTTTTAAAACTAGTACCCAAAGTTTAAATAACTTCAGGCCTTTTTCTCTTTCTCCTCCTACTCCTCTTCCTCTTCTTGCTCTTCCTCCTCTTCCTCTTCTTCCTCTTCCTCTTCCTCCTACCCTTCCTCTTCCTCTTCCTCGTCTTCTTCTTCCTCTTCCTCGTCTTCCTCATCCTCCTCGTCTTCTTCTTCCTCTTCCTCGTCTTCCTCTTCCTCTTCTTCCTCTTCCTCCTCGTCTTCCTCCTCTTCTTCCTCCTCCTCTTCTTCTTCTTCGTCCTCTTCTTCTTCCTCTTTCTCTTCCTCCTCCTCCTCCTCCTCTTCTTCTTCTCCTTCGCTGTGAAAATAAAGGTGGCAGTGAATTCATATTGTATTTGTGAGCATATTTTAAGGTAGTTTATGGTATATTACAGTAGTGAACTGTTGTGGCGCTTTATTTTCTACTACTGCTTAGGGTTTCTTCTTTTTCTTAATTGCAAAATGGGTTTGTTAGATTTATTGTTATTTTGATATTAATGATTAGAGTTTGTTCTTGATAATATTTGGGGGTTATATTTCAAATTTAAGCTCATTTGGAGTAGATTTAGGTGTTAAATTGTCTATTGAATTGTTAAAATTCGAAACACAAATTTTTGTTTTTGGGCAATTTGCACTTCAGACCTATGTGGCCTTAAGTGCATGAAAATATTGGTTGCACTTCAAACCTATTTGGCCTTAAGTACATCCGAAGTGCAATTTTTTTCATTTCAAACCTATTTGGCCTTAAGTGCATGAAAATATTTGTTGCACTTCGGACCTATTTGGCTTTAAGTGCATCTGAAGTGCATTTTTTTCACTTCAGACCTATTTGACCTTAAGTGCATGAAAACTAGGGGTGTACATGGACCGGGTTTGTTCGAATTTTATCAAAACCAAACCAAACCAATTATATCGGTTTGGATTGGTTCGATTTTGTCGGATTTTTCGGATTTTTTGTTACATGAATATTATTTCAATCTTGCATTATTAAAGTTATGGATAAAATTTTGATAAGTAAATATATGTTTACTAAATTTTTTTTTAAAAATAACAAACATATGATCTATTAAAGTGATCTTACGAGAGAATTATTTTTAGTAACACATAATAGTTTGTTTTCTTAGTCGTCTACCAATAATTTTTGGTTGATGTACGCTTTCAATGTTAACCAAATTTAATAATTAAATATAAAAATCAATATGATACCTAAATAATAATATGTTCTATGTAATTTTAGATTATCGAAATACCACTTCAAATTCGAAAAACATATAATAAATCTTGACATATGAATATGAAAGAACAAAGAGATGATTGACACATTTCAATAACACATAATAAGAAAGTGATACAATCTATTATTTAAAGTAAATAAAAATGAATGCACTTTATAGTTCTATTAAATATTATATCCCATGAGAGGATCTCAAATATTTCTAGACATCTTTTAAATAAAGTTCTATATAAAGTTTTAAAATTATATATAAAAAATTATATATTTATATGTCGGTCTGGTTCGGGATTTTTTACTCAATACCAAACCAAATCAAACCAAACGTAGTCAGGTTTTTTAATCGGTTTGATTTGACTTTTCGGTTTGGTGCGGTTTTCCGGTTCGGTTTGTCCCTAATGAAAACATTTGAAACATCTTCAGAGTGAATCGAGACTCAACATGTATACTATGGAACATCAACCAACAAAACAACGTCAAAGGTAAACATATGAACCTAGATGATATCATGAGTGGAATATTTACGACGAGACGTTTCATTAAGCTTTTCTTTTAGAAAAACTGCCGTTAAGGCAGATTCATACGAAAGGGGTCAAAAGTGATAGGCATTATATAACTTATCACAATCTATCCAGTAACCACATTGAGCTCATCTCGTCGCACCATAATCTACAGAAGCAATAATAATGCTATCGTTAAGCTACGAAGGACACAACTATCGCACAATGAACAACAAACTTATTTTATATTAAAGCGGGTAGCATNATATATATATATATATATATATACATCATTTTCCAACCTTATATCCATCAAAAAATACCACAAAACATCCCAACACACCCTAGTCACTTTATATACAAAACGACAACCATAATAGTGTCAAACAACAAGAAAATGTAACGACGAATGACCAGCCCAACACCATAATATTATGTGGTGTTTATCCATACTATTTCTCCTCCCAAATTCCATAAAAATAGTAACAAAAGAGACAACCCAACAACAACTCAAAACAGCCCACAAAGCAGTCCGCTACAAGTTGAACAACTCGAACTCACGACTTCCGATCACTGTCCCATGAGTTCTTATTATTATGGAACGAATTGCTCTACCTTTTCAGCAGAAAAAAGGGATGAAAGAGGGAAGTATACGTACCTTATTTGGTGAAGATCTCAGATCCTATCTTTGGTTCTACAACTTTTAGGTTTTCCTCCAACTAAAACTTGAAAAGAAGAGAAAATAACTTATGGTTAGTGTGGAATTTTAGGGAGAAGTTTGCAGGGGCTTATTCTATGATTTTAGGCTCTAAAATGAGTGGAATAAATGAAGGAAACCATCCCGTAAAAGAGAACCTTTGGCCGACCCCAACTAGCCCCTTTTGGGGGCCTTATTTGATCCTTTCAGTTAAGCAAGGAGGTGACACACCTACTTGTCACCTATGCAGTCTGCGCAATCTCGTAAAAATGCGAATATCTCTCTACTCTAATGTTTTATGACGAACAATTTAATGCGTTATAAACTAGACTCATAGAGCTTCAATTTTGGTGGGTGGATATCCCCGTAACTCCAAGTATATTAGGAGAAAAACTAAGTGACATTAGACCCAAATTTTAATAAAATTATGAACGTAACTTGCAATAACTTTTGCCGACTTTTATTTTATAACATATTTGACTTCAAAACTTAACATACAAGTATTATATGATTCAATTACCTTAAAACACGATATCATATTAAGCACTCCTAGTTTTATCCCTAAAGTACGGGTTATAACATCTTTAATTCGTTTAGCCTACAACCCTCACGATACTTCCTTAACTCCTGTTTTAACTCATCATTATCTTTGTAAAGGTCCTTAATCTCTTCGACATATACTAATTTACATAAGATGCATTCCAAAATCAAAGTACGGGTGTAACATCGAAAGAACTCACACGATCATGAAAAACAATTGTCAACCCAAGCTAACCCAGCTAACACATCGCATTCTCGACCCTCATCACGCAAATGCGAAGCACAACCAGTACATCAATCGCAATCACGATGCCCCTTCGGAGATCACGATGAATAAATCTTCCCCAGCTCCACACAACACTCCGTGATCGCGAGACTTTCTTCACGATCGCGATGTACACCAAATAGCAACAAAATCTACCAACTTCAACATTGCTTCGGGTGGTCTGAAACTCACCCGAGCAACTCAGGACTCCATCCAAACATACCAACAAGTCCATAAATACAATTCGAACCTGCTCGAGGCCTCGAAATACCTAAAATAACATACCAAGAATTGCACCCCAAACCATACGAATCAACCTTCCAAATGCGAAATGGAACCCAAATTCGCACACAAGTCAAATATAACGATACGAATCTATCCACAAGCTCCGAACAACAAACGGGATCCTATATCACCAAATTCCACTCCAAGTCAAACTTAGCAAATTTTAAATTTAAAATTCCAACTTCCAATAATAAGCGTTAAATCGCTCCTGGGCCACCTGAAACTCGACCCAAATATGGTCCCAAGTCCAAAACCACCATACAAACCTATTAGAACCTTCAAATCTCAATTCCGAGGTCGGTTACTCAAAATATTAACTTAAGTCAAACTTGGCCACCTTAGGCCACTATCATGGAACTAAGTGTTCCGAATTCAATCTGAACCCTTCAAAAACCAAACCAATCGACCCTGCAAGTCTTAAAATAGGTAAAGCACATACGCAAAGTCTCAAATAGGGGAACGGGATTCTAGAAATCAAGATGACCGATAGTATAGTTACATTGTCCACCTCTTAAACAATCATTCATCCTCGAATGGGTTTAGGATCATACCTGGAATGCCAAATAAGTGCGGATATATGCTCCGCATGTCATCCTCGATCTCCCAAGTCGCCTTCTCGACTGGATGACCTCTCTACTAAACCTTAATAGCTAAAATCTCCTTAGACCTCAATGTGTGTACCTGTCTATCAACAATGAAAACTGGCTCCTCC